GGCATCTTTTGGTGCTCAAGAGATTTAGGCATCTTTTGGTGCTCAAGAGATTTAGGCATCTTTTGGTGCTCAAGAGATTTAGGTATGCTTTGGTGCTCAAGAGATTTAGGTATGCTTTGGTGCTCAAGAGATTTAGGTATGCTTTGGTGCTCAAGAGATTTAGGCATGTTCTGCTGCTCAAAAGATTTAGGCATGTTCTGCTGCTCAAAAAATTTAAGTAAGTTTTGGATTCTCAAGAGATTTAGGTATGTTTTGGATTCTCAAGAGATTTAGGTATGTTTTGGTGCTCAAGAGATTTAGGTATGTTTTGGATTCTCAAGAGTTTTAGGTATGTTCTGGTGCTCAAGAGTTTTAGGTATGTTTTGGATTCTCAAGAGATTTAGGTATGTTTTGGATTCTCAAGAGATTTAGGTATGTTCTGGTGCTCAAGAGATTTAGGTATGTTTTGGATTCTCAAGAGATTTAGGTATGTTTTGGATTCTCAAGAGATTTAGGTATGTTTTGGATTCTCAAGAGATTTAGGTATGTTTTGGTGCTCAAGAGTTTTAGGTATGTTTTGGTGCTCAAGAGTTTTAGGTATGTTTTGGTGCTCAAGAGTTTTAGGTATGTTTTGGTGCTCAAGAGTTTTAGGTATGTTTTGGTGCTCAAGAGTTTTAGGTATGTTTTGGTGCTCAAGAGTTTTAGGTATGTTTTTGGTGCTCAAGAGTTTTAGGTATGTTTTGGTGCTCAAGAGTTTTAGGTATGTTTTGGTGCTCAAGAGTTTTAGGTATGTTTTGGTGCTCAAGAGTTTTAGGTATGTTTTGGTGCTCAAGAGTTTTAGGTATGTTTTGGTGCTCAAGAGTTTTAGGTATGTTTTGGTGCTCGAGTTTTAGGTATGTTTTGGTGCTCAAGAGTTTTAGGTATGTTTTGGTGCTCAAGAGTTTTAGGTATGTTTTGGTGCTCAAGAGTTTTAGGTATGTTTTGGTGCTCAAGAGTTTTAGGTATGTTTTGGTGCTCAAGAGTTTTAGGTATGTTTTGGTGCTCAAGAGTTTTAGGTATGTTTTGGTGCTCGAGATTTAGGTATGTTTTGGTGCTCAAGAGATTTAGGCATGTTTTGGTAATGTAGATAGCTGTAGATCAATTTGACGCCCCCCCAAAAAAAAGCTGGTAAAGAGGCACAGTGAGGCCAAAAGACCAGGTGTCTACCCAGGTGTAGGCCCAAAAGATGTTGCTCATCCATTTTTTTTAACGTCTTTGATTTGTTTCAGGGCATCGCTTTCAAACTGCAGCAATGGCAAACGGAGTGGAATATTTTCTCAACAATACCAGGAAGAACATCACGGACATTCACTCACGGATTGACAGCCTGGAACAAGAGCTCAACCAGGCTTTTCTCATAATTATGGGCATTATCATTATGTGTGAGTATTGCTTTAGCATCAGTCATCGTTAAGCTTCACCATCATCATGTCTGGACAAATTTTAGTCCTTGGTGTTATATTTTTCACCTGCTGAAAGCAAGTCTGGTCGTTTGTTTGGACTATGGCTTTGTGCTACGGCCTGACATTTGCGTGCACATCCATTTTACTAGTTTATTTGTGTGCAGTTGTAAATTCTTGCCACTCGGGCGGATGCACTCATACTTTGAAGAATTGCTCCCAATTAGTTAACTCCTAACTATAAGCTTTTCGGGTAGGCAGTGTGCCTGTTTTGTTTTCCCACAATGAGGCCCAGGAACCCATAGGGGAAGGTAGTCTTAATCAAATCCATTTATTTTATTTCAAGACTTTTCAACTGGCGGCCCGTGGGCCAAATCTGGCCCGCCAAGGCCTAGCAAGTGGCCCGCGGATCACTTCTAGCTGTATTGTATTTTCGATCTTTCTATGCTGGGGCTGAGGCCTCTGGCCCGTAGCGATCCCCGGTTTTAAATATTTTGGCCCCTGAGCCAACTTAAATAGCCCTGTTCTATGCCATCGCTTCATGCCATCCATTGATTCTCTGCTTGCCTCGTTTCTTATACCATTGATCTATCCAGTCATTCTCGAATGCCCCTCATCAATGTCTGCCTGTTTATAGTTTTATAATTTTAATTAGCAGAACCAACCAAACTGTTGACTTGTGTAATCCCTGTTTGCTGTTTGGGTTCTGGGATTTGTCTGTTGGACTGGGTATTGAGGGACGAGAACAGACCCACTGCCACCCCCCCTTCCCCCCAGCCCAGTAAATTTGATAAAAGCCAACTAAAAAACAGGAGTGTCCTTTGAGGTCAGAGTGCATTTGTCTGAGACTTTAAGGACCCAATAGTTCTACATACAAATAGCCAGATATGTAAAATAAATATGCATGCAGAACTCAAGTTCTGGAAACAAAACTAGGGCCCAGAAGGGAAAAACAAGAACTTTCCACAGGAGTTTACCGCTGGTGTACGAAGTCTGTAAGAAAAAACAGTTTAGACAGCAGATTTTATTCATTATAAGACAAAGAAGTTGGCAGTGTAGTGGGCACATGATGAAATGAGCAATGAATCAGGGAATGAAGAAATGAGGTCGTTCAAGAGAAATCCTAAGATAAACATCCATGATATTAATTACTTCACAGAATAAAATGTGAGTCTTTGGTATATAATAGCATGTGAGTGTGATATCTTGTTTTAATTCAGTATACAGCATGTTTTACTGTCTGCTACTGTCTGTCTGGTTCTTTCTGCCTATGTGAGAAACTGTCTGCTTCTGTCTGCCTTGTTGTTTTGTTCTGTCTGCCTGGGTACTGTCTGTCTGGAAGTCTGCCTGTCTGGTTCTGTCTGCCTGGGTACTGTCTGGTAGTATCTGCCTCTATTGCCTGCCTGTCTGGTACTGTCTGCCTGTCTGGTACTGTCTGTCTGCCTGGTACTGTCTGCCTGCCTGGTACTGTCTGCTGGCCTGCCTGGTACTGTCTGCTGGCCTGCCTGGTACTGTCTGCTGGCCTGCCTGGTACTGTCTGCTGGCCTGCCTGGTACTGTCTGCTGGCCTGCCTGGTACTGTCTGCTGGCCTGTCTGGTGCTGGCCTGTCTGGTGCTGGCCTGTCTGGTGCTGGCCTGTCTGGTGCTGGCCTGTCTGGTGCTGGCCTGTCTGGTGCTGGCCTGTCTGGTGCTGGCCTGTCTGGTGCTGGCCTGTCTGGTGCTGGCCTGTCTGGTGCTGGCCTGTCTGGTGCTGGCCTGTCTGGTGCTGGCCTGTCTGGTGCTGGATGTCTGGTGCTGGCCTGTCTGGTGCTGGCCTGTCTGGTGCTGGCCTGTCTGGTGCTGGCCTGTCTGGTGCTGGCCTGTCTGGTGCTGGCCTGTCTGGTGCTGGCCTGTCTGGTGCTGGCCTGTCTGGTGCTGGCCTGTCTGGTGCTGGCCTGTCTGGTGCACCTGGCCTGTCTGGTGCTGGCCTGTCTGGTGCTGGCCTGTCTGGTGCTGGCCTGTCTGGTACTGGCCTGTCTGGTGCTGGCCTGTCTGGTGCTGGCCTGTCTGGTAGTGTCTGGTGCTGGCCTGTCTGGTAGTGTCTGGTGCTGGCCTGTCTGGTAGTGTCTGGTGCTGGCCTGTCTGGTAGTGTCTGGTGCTGGCCTGTCTGGTAGTGTCTGGTGCTGGCCTGTCTGGTAGTGTCTGGTGCTGGCCTGTCTGGTACTGTCTGGTGCTGGCCTGTCTGGTTCTGTCTGGTGCTGGCCTGTCTGGTTCTGTCTGCCTGGTTCCATCAGTCTCATTTTATCTGATTGTGTCTGTGTATTTGTCTATCTGTGTGTGTCTGCCTGCCTGGTTCAAACTGTCTTTCTGGCTCTGTCTGGTTCTATTGTTTCTTCACATTTTTTTTCCTCTGTATCTTTCTCATTTCCTCCCCTAGATTTCACTGTAGCAAGAAATGTTGGGTCCAGTTTCTGACTGTATTCATCACAAGGGTTTGTCATTATGGTTAGCCTACTTCATAGTCAGTCATCATGTGCTGCCAGTATATGCCACATATAATTTGGTCTAATCTCCCTTCTATCCTATGCTGTGCAGTCCGCCTTTTGATAGTTTGCTTGACTTTTCCTTACCCACTTAGTACCTCAGGTTCCACCTGGCTTGTGTGTTGACAGATACCCCAGTTATAATTGACTGAATTTTGACTGAAAAAGTACATGATGCTCTCAACTCTTTTGGCATGAACATAGCCACATGGATGGCTGCTGCACAGGACTGTTGTGGATTGCGTACATCCCTCAGGCCTACCAGGCATCTGAGCTTCTTCTGCCTTTCTAGCCCCCAATGTAGCATAGACCCTCAACCAACTCATGCCAAGTCGTTCTATCCTTTGCTATCACATGCACCTATCCCCATGTCCCCTCCATCTTTCTAACATTCTCCAGCTTTCATGTTTTTGGCCTTCCTGTTCTATGCCCTGTGGGTTCCAATGCAAAGACTTTCTAGTTATGATCTCGTTTTCTCAGTGTCCTATCCAGATCCAGCATCTTTTTTCACCACTTGGTCCACTGGAGCTTGCTTAGTTCTCTCTCAAAGCTGAAGTTTCACAGGTAGAGAAATGGAGGCAGACTAGAAAGAACCATATAGCTAATACCAAACTTACTGCTGACTTGTTGATCATCCATCAAGAGTGATTGTTTTTTTAAATATCATGATGGTAGGATGAACCTTAGGCAAGTCCAGAGGGGACACAGAATGGTAGGGTAAACCTTAGGTATGTCTAGAGGGGACACAGGATGGTAGGGTAAACTTAGGTAAGTCCAGAGGGGACACAGGATGGTAGGGTAAACCTTAGGTAAGTCCAGAGGGGACACAAAATGGTAGGGTAAACCTTGGGTAAACCTTAGGTAAGTCCAGAAGGGGACACAGGATAGTAGGGTAAACTTAGGTAAGTCCAGAGGGGACACAGGATGGTAGGGTAAACCTTGGGTAAATCAAGAGGTGGACACAGAATGTTCAAGTCCAGAGGGAACATTCAACAATTGATTGATCTCATGCATTTGTTTTAAACTGCATTATGGTTGCAACCTGGCAACTTTATTTGCAGTGATGCAGTGTGGGTTTGCATTTGTGGAGGCCAGCTGTGTGAGGTGTAAGAATGCTGGCAATGCTTTACTGAAGAACATTCTCGACACATGTAAGTACCGGATGTCTTCATCTTCTTCGCGTTCACCAGCTGTAAACTCTGGGGGAAAGTTCTGGTTGTTTATCTACTCTTGGACTGCACTTCTGTCTCAGAACCTGAGTGTTGTGTGTGCATCCGTTTTACAGATCTGACTTTTTCGTGTGCAAACTGCTGGTTCCTGCCTCTGAGGGAGATGCACTGACTCTGAAGAAAGCTCCCAATTAGTCGACTATTACTGCATGCTCTTGGGTAGGCAGTGGGTCTGTTTACCCTATAACAGGGCCCTAGAACCCACACGGGGAGTACCGTATGTGTAAAGAGCTGGGGGGGGGGGTGGGGGGGGATTAAACGGGTTGTATAAATGGAGATTAAGAGGAAGGAGACTGAGGGAAGCAATATAAAGAGCTTAAGGGATATAATATAGGTTGATTGGAGTAATGTAAAGAGCTTAAAGTGTATAATGTAGAGATTGAGGGGAGCTATGTAAAGAGCTTAAGGGGAATAATATAGATTCAATGGAATCATGTAAAAAAATCAAGGAAAGGAAGCTAAGAAGAAAGTTCTGCCCTTTGTGATGTTTCTAAAATAAGCACCCTCATTTACATGTATTAACCTAATCTGTATATGTAATCCTAGTTATTCACCTAATTTGTATATGTATGTAATCCTTTTCATTACCTAATTTGTATATTTAGTCTAGTCAGTTATTCACCTAATTTGTATATGTAGTCCTTATTAATCTAATTTTTATATGTAATCCTAGTTTGTTTTTTACCTAATTTGTGTATGTAAACCTGGTTATTCACCTAATTTGTGTATGTAATCCTGGTTATTCACCTAATTATTATGTAATCCTAGTTAATCTAATTTATATATTTAATCCTGTTATTCACCTAACTGCCAGTTAAGGTAATTGACCAGTCATTCTTATGGCACATAAGACAAGTCCATAATTGCTTCAGTCCCATCTTTTGTATATACCTCAGCGAGTGATGACTGATAAACATCAGTTCTGTGTTTGCTATTTTTCTCTTGCCAGCAGTGCAGTGTCTAAGTCTAACACCTCTTTTGGCATGTTCCTGTAGTAATGTCAAGGTTGTTGATTCACCGTAGTCTCCTGAATCAAAAGACCCCACCATATGTTGTATGTTGCTTCAAAATATTGACCTCTCTGTAGTGTTAAAGCATATGTCGGATGTTAGATCTTCACTCACGTTTAACTCAACTGTGGCAAATTGTCCAGAAAGAAATAGTGGATTGGGCTAATTTACATATATTTTCTTTGGGAGCCACCATGTAATGTCTAGATGCTTTCCTGTGGATAGGGAGGTCAGGTCCTGCCTATGGCATGTTTTTCAAAAATGATCTTGGCTCCCAGGACAACACAGCCTTGAGTACGTCCAGGTACTCGGAAGTAAAGGTCGGCGGTGTTATGTTGACTACATGATCCATCGAGTGCCAGTTGGTCTATATAATATAGGTCTAACCCTATATGCCTAATACACTTGAAGGAAGTGTTTTACTTTTTACTTTATGTAAACAATTGCTATAGATTTGCTTTTCTTTTGCAGCTGTTACGGTCATAGCCTATTGGACATGTGGATTTGCATTGGCATTTGGCAAGGGAAATAGTTTCATTGGCTGGCATGCCTACTGGGCATCTTCGGACATTGAAGGCGATTACATGGCATTCTTCTTTTTCGAGTTTGTCTTTGCTGCCACAGCAGCCACTCTTGTATCCGGAGCTCTGAGTGAGAGATGTGACTTCATTGCTTACTTCATCTATAGTTTTATCATCACAGGTGTGTAGTGTTTGGTATTATATTGTGTAGGTTTTTCAGGATGTTGCAGAACCAACCTCAGCATTTATTGGCTGTTGTGGTTTTTTATGAAAATTTTTTTAAGTTTGCCATTGCTGTCTGAACAGTTGGCTCTCAGTACCACTGTTGAAACAGTGCAAGACAAATCGTCTGCAGCAGAAATCGAACCCGGCATTACGAAGTGCATCACAATGCCTTAGCCACAGATGCCGACATATTATAGTGCATCGTAGTATATTGTAGCTATTGATTGTTCACTGGTCGGACTTTAGGTCCAATACATCTATAAGACAGGAAACAAAACAAAAATATGTGTCTGATTTTATTAGAATGCGTCGCTGGAATTACATCGGTCACGTACTCAGAATGGACATACAGAGACTTCCCCACCAAGCCTTCATATGGTCACCAGAGGGTAAAAGAAAACAGGGAAGACCAAAAGAAACTCTCGGTAGAACCATCACAAGGGAGAGCTCAACCGTAGGTCTCAGTCGCACTCAAGACCTACATCAAGTGGCAAAGAACCGACAGACGTGGAAAGCTATGACCTCTGCCCTATGCGCCATCTTTGGCACAAGAGGAATAACTAACTAACTAACTAAGTATATTGTCTATAAAATGGTTAAATGGTTTGGACATGTCAAGACTATCTTCAGATAGTGCCCCTCAGAGATGTTACTTTGTGTTTCAAGCAGAACTAGAGGTCAAACATGCAAGCCATGGATAGATGGAATATTTCATCCTAAGCTGTAAAAACCAGCATCTATGTAGCGCTTGCTCCCGATGCTTCTTCAAACCCTGACACTGAATGGCACAATATGACTAGAGTAACAGTATATTGCTGCTTATGTCTTCATGCTTATCCTGTTTTCCATGCTTATCCTGTTTTCCATGCTTATCCTGTTTTCCATGCTTATCCTGTTTTCCATGCTTATCCTGTTTTCCATGCTTATCCTGTTTTCCATGCTTATCCTGTTTTCCATGCTTATCCTGTTTTCCATGCTTATCCTGTTTTCCATGCTTATCCTGTTTTCCATGCTTATCCTGTTTTCCATGCTTATCCTGTTTTCCATGCTTATCCTGTTTTCCATGCTTATCCTGTTTTCCATGCTTATCCTGTTTTCCATGCTTATCCTGTTTTCCATGCTTATCCTGTTTTCCATGCTTATCCTGTTTTCCATGCTTATCCTGTTTTCCATGCTTATCCTGTTTTCCATGCTTATCCTGTTTTCCATGCTTATCCTGTTTTCCATGCTTATCCTGTTTTCCATGCTTATCCTGTTTTCCATGCTTATCCTGTTTTCCATGCTTATCCTGTTTTCCATGCTTATCCTGTTTTCCATGCTTATCGTGTTTTCCATGCTTATCGTGTTTTCCATGCTTATCGTGTTTTCCATGCTTATCGTGTTTTCCATGCTTATCGTGTTTTCCATGCTTATCGTGTTTTCCATGCTTATCGTGTTTTCCATGCTTATCGTGTTTTCCATGCTTATCGTGTTTTCCATGCTTATCGTGTTTTCCATGCTTATCCTGTTTTCCATGCTTATCCTGTTTTCCATGCTTATCCTGTTTTCCATGCTTATCGTGTTTTCCATGCTTATCGTGTTTTCCATGCTTATCGTGTTTTCCATGCTTATCGTGTTTTCGTATCTATCATGTTTTCATATTTGTTTATCCCCTTGTCAGTGCTGAATTAAAGCATAAGCTAAGCAACAAACTCACAATCTACAGGGGCCTCAATGAGTACCTTTTCTGGGTTCACAAGGTCATTTTTCTTAATATATCTTTAATAGGATTGTGTAATGTAACTTCTGTGATTTTGCAGATAATTTTGTTTCTAAAATGTTTTTTCATTATCATTATTTTATCTATTTTAAAGCTGTCTGAAATTAGCTGGTGTAATTTAGGGGCCTCAGAGATTTATATAGCTTAGGGCCTCAAGTATAAATCTAGCCGTGTTCCTTTTGCCAACACCACTGTAACCTTTTATATTTACCCTTGAAACAATGGTTGGCAAGCTGTGGTTTACAGCTAGGCTGTGATTTGTGCCTTTCAGCTAATTCCTAATTCAATACCAAACATCCTCCAAAATTGGGGTGCATCAGCTTGAGAAAGGAGAGACCAACAATCAGCATACAAATAAGCCAGATCTGTAAAACATGTGTGCATGTAAAATTTAATTTCTGGAACAAGACTTACGTCCGAAGGGGAAGAACAACCAGAATTTTCCACCGGGGTTTACAGCCGGGTGGACGCTAAGAAGTACTACAGAAGGCATCTTACGTATCTTGGTCATTCCTAAGTAATATATTTTTGCTGTCCTCTATCACAGACCGTCACTGAATTAACCCTTTGTGTTTAGATCACTTGGAGCCACCTGTAGATCAGATGGTCAGATTCAGGTCCAGGTAGAACCGATCTTTTCAAAGCTGACCAGGGTATACGGCTAAAGTCCTGGGAAGTAATGATAGCTAGCATGTTGACCACATCACCCACCATATATTTAGTCTGTAAAATATAGGCCTAGCCCTATATGCCCATTATGCCTTAAAGCGTTACAGGTCCTTTACTTTTTATTAGTTGAATCATCAGCATAACCTTAACTCCCCGCCTTTTCTGCACGGCTACTTCCACTAGTACGGCATACACGTGAGTTACCACAGTTCAGCTTATGTTATTAAATACAAGAGACTAGAAAGCTTGACAAGTAAATGGGATGTATAACACAATTCAACCAAATACTTTAGCAATTATAGCAGCTGTACTTATATTCAATGAAAAAATCAACCAGCAGTGAATATCACAATAAACGGAGAGACGTTAGAACAAGTAAAAGTTTCTCCTATCTCGGACATGTAGTAACATAAGGTAGCAATGAAACAAATCAGAGTATGGGAATGGCTGTTTTTCTGCAAATGACAGCTAGAGAGATAAGCACATTACAAATGAAAATTGTCAAATATACTCAGCGTGCAGAAACTTGGACAATGAACAAGCAACTAGAAAATCGTATTGTCTCTGGAAATTGTAACTGTACTTAATGGAAACAAACCAAGGTTCTGGAAAGACTATGAATGAAGAGGATTATTGAAAGAAATAGGAAAGAAATAGGAGACTTGACATATTTTGGCCACATAAAGACATAATATACTTTTAAAAACCATACTGTAGGGAAAGGTTGAGAGCAAGAGGTAGACAGTTATACAAGTGGGAGGACATCAAGAAATTAACAGCAGTCTGAGAGTGTACAACTAGGCCAGAGACATAGCGTGTTGATCGTTGCAGCCAACCTCCATTGTAAGGATGGCACCTGACTGTTTAAAAATTTAATCTAACATGGTAGTAATAATTATGCCACATTCACAGCTTATTTTTTTTTCATTTACAGCTTTCATCTATCCACCCGTCACACACTGGGCATGGACTAATGAGGGCTGGCTTAAAGCTGGATTGATGTATGAAATTAATGGTGTCCAGGAGGTGGTAGGATTCCATGTAAGCAAGTTGTTAACTGTCAGAATAATGTACTTCTGTTGATCAGCACTGTTAGAATAATGTACTTCTGTTGATCAGCATCATGTACTTTTCATTATCATGTTCATTATCATGTATGTCATGTGCTCATTATTGGTATCATGTACGTCTTCATTATTGGTATCATGAATGTCTGTTCATTATCATGTATGTCTGTGTTCATAATCATGTATGTCCGTTTTTATTATCACTATTATGTACGTTTATATTATCAATTTCATGTACTTCTGTGTTCATTACTGGCATCATGAACTTGTTTGTTATAGTCATCAGGTACTTCTGTGTTCATTACTGGCATCATGAACTTCTGTGTTCATTACTGGCATCATGAACTTCTGTGTTCATTACTGGCATCATGAACTTCTGTGTTCATTACTGGCATCATGAACTTCTGTGTTCATTACTGGCATCATGAACTTGTGTTCGTTAGTCATCAGGTACTTCTGTGTTCATTACTGGCATCATGAACTTGTGTTCGTTATAGTCATCAGGTACTTCTGTGTTCATTACTGGCATCAGGTACTTCTGTGTTCATTACTGGCATCAGGTACTTCTGTGTTTGTTACTGGCATCAGGTACTTCTGTGTTCCTTATAAGCATCAGGTACTTCTGTGTTTGTTTCTGGCATCATCAGGTACTTCTGTGTTTGTTACTGGCATCAAGTACTTCTGGGTTTGTTACTGGCATCAGGTACTTCTGGGTTTGTTACTGGCATCAGGTACTTCTGGGTTTGTTACTGGCATCAGGTACTTCTGTGTTCCTTATAGGCATCAGGTACTTCTGTGTTCCTTATAGGCATCAGGAACTTCTGTGTTCCTTATAGGCATCAGGAACTTCTGTGTTCATTACTGTCATGTACTTGTGTTCATTATCAATATTATGTACTGTAATCTCTTCATAATTATACCTATCCGTGATCGTTTTCTGCTTATTTTCTTGTCTTTTTACCTTTTCATTTTTATACCTTTTTTTTAAATCTTTTTTATACCCTCATATGTCATTGTTTTTATATTTTGATTTTTATATCTGCATATAAGTTTTTACATTTTCATTCTTCTTGCAGGATTTTTCGGGCAGTGGAGCAGTTCATCTTGTGGGTGGAACAGCAGCTCTGGTAGGAGCTATTGTCCTGGGACCTCGTATTGGAAGGTTTCACCCAGAAACTGGAGCAGACATGATGCTCAAAGGTCATTCAATGCCAGTAAGTGAAACATTAGCTTAATTTTATAAACCTAAAAAGTGACTGTATTTTTGTCATATTCTGATGAAGGCTATCTAGCTGGAACATTTATTGTCATTTGTGATGCTGGTATTATCAAGCTAAATCTTCTCCTGTTTTGATTTGAATTTTTACATGTGTGGTATATCTTGCATATGAACAACAAAGCTGTCTGCCCACCTGCTTCTGGTTCCTGTAGAGCTGGCAATAAATAGAAATGTCTGAGAAGAGCTGTTGTAGTGATCAGAAGAGAAATCAGTAATGTGGTCATAAGTTGGCACAGAACCAATTCTAAATTACATACAAAGACAACAAATCAAATAGTTTGCCTACTTGAAATGCCTTGGGGTGCCATGCTGTACATGGTATACATCACAAAAGTATATAGAGAGCGTGGAAGATCAAGAACAAGATGGAAAGATAGCATCAGAGAAACAGCAATGTCTATGATTGAGGGGGCCACGAGCAAGAAGCAGAACCTCATTATCTCCCTTGATGCATGAAGAAATCAAAGAGGCAGTCACTCTTGCACCTCTTCTTAGATCTCTTTTGCATGTTATACTAAATTTTTTTTTGTTGGTTTGTGGGTGACCTCATCTTGAAACAAGGTAGGAATAAATATGTTTTGTATGAGATTGCTTTTTTGGGGTTATTATTAACTCCAACGTTAATATACATGAAACAAATATCCTGGACAATTAACAAGCCAAACATCTTGAGAAGCCTCAATGTTTTACAGAATCTTTAGAATTCCATGGGCAGCTAAGTAGAACAACCTGGGTATTTTGAGAAAGGTACATGCTCAATGACTGACTTTCTACCCCACCAGGACATCACACAAGCGATAATACCTGATGACACAATGTACCACCATGTGGGTGAGGATCACCGTGGAGAGGTCCCAGAAACCGCGTTCAGCCTTTAGGCCATATTTATGGCCAGGCTATATTGCGGCCTCTGGCAAGAGCTAGAGAAGGGCTTCAAATAACTAAAAATTTCATCCTGAAAAGGACAGAAAGTTATATTAGCTCAAAGACAACTTACCATAAACATCACAAAGACTGACTGACTTTCTACCCCACCAGGACATCACACAAGCGATAAAACACCCGATGACACAAAGTGCCACCATGTGGATGAGGATCACCGTGGAGAGGTACCAGAAACCGCGTTCAGACAATTGGCCATATTTATGGCCTGCCTATTTGGCAAAAGCGAGAGTGGGTGCTTCAAATAACAAAATTACATCCTAAAAAGGACGTAAGGAATAGTTACGGCCTTGGATTTAATTATCCTGATCAGAAGGTTGGAACATAGTTAGAATTTGAGTTTAAGAATTGCAACTGGTGTTTAGGAAATTGTTCTGGAATAATTTGAAATTAGTAAAGGCTTCGAGATCTGCCATGGTTGAAATCTTGTCTGATACTGTGTTGACTGATAAGGTTGGCAATGGCAGTTGCATGTAACATCTACTTGCCTCTCCAAGTGATTTTTACATGTTTGTAGAGGGGAAAATGCAGAGGATGCATGATTGCAGAATTTGCCTGAATTGATGGAAATCAGATAGGCCCTCAGGAGGGAAATATGCCATTATCTTTGAGAAAGCTGGCTTTGGCCACCATCTTGGGCCAGCCGTCTTGGCCCAGTTGTGTTAGCCCAAATGTCTCCTATAGTACCTATCCTTTACAATGTTGATTTTGCTCCATTACAAATTTACTACTTTGCTAACTAACTTCATTGGCTACTTATAAACAGCCACAGAATGTAACCATTCATTGTCTTAGTTTGCAGCTCTTGGTGCTTTCCTTCTGATGGTTGGATTCCTGGCCTTCAATGGAGCCTCACAGCTGACAATGACCAAACCCGGGGACAATGTCATTATTGCTCTAGCCATTACCAACACCATTATTGCAGGAAGTATGTCTGCTTTTAGCGCTCTGGTGGTTAGAAGGTAAGTAATGCCAGATGTATTTGTTAGAATTAGGAATCTAAAATAACTTTAGCCTCAGATTACTTTGAACTGATGGGAAAATTTAAAACTATTTGGAAAATTTAAAGTAATTTATAACATATATAGGTCTTATATATTGTAACCTGCACATCAAATTGCAGCAAATTTATATTTCCAGTATGGATTCCGGTGCCCCACTCAGGTTCTGGAACAAGTCCAGAGGTGGATGAACAACTGGTTTACAACCATTGAATGCGAAGATTGTGATTAATTCATATCAGACTGCAGCAAAATTCAGCTGATAGTGAGCAGAGAAGCTAGACGATTTTTCTACCCACAGAAAACGGGCAAACCTTTCACCAGGTTGCAAGCGGCAGCATCACTTTGTAATTCTTTATTGGTTATTGAGGAAAGGGGCGTGCACAATGGGAAATGTGTCAAGTGCAGAGTGAATTCTTGATTAAATCATTTATGCAGCCAAATTTGTAAAAATGCATATCAGATTGCAACATTTAGTGTTTAATGTTTAAGAATCATCACAGTACTCTGGATACTCCCATAAGTGCTCCATTCCTATCTTCAGAAGCAAGTGCAGAGTTCCAATTCCAGTGGTTACCAACTGTGGTCTGCTTGTATATTCGTGTCGTCTTTCCCTTTAGTGCTGATCGTCGACCAGATACCCTGGTCACTCCTCGCAATGCCATTCTTAGATTCATCTGTGCTTCTACACTGTTCATTCACCCCCATAGGGCCCTTGCAGCATCTAGCCTTTCATGCATTAATTCACCACCAAGGTGTGCAGAACCAGCCGGTCAATTTGCCTGTTACTTTCCCAACACGCCATTATTACTTGGGAGAAATATCCAATGGATGCTAACTACCTGGTCGCACTGATGCGATGCTTGTTACTCTGTACAGAGCATGCCTGTCTCCATCTTTCTCATGTTGTGTGTGTTACTATTAACATGTTTGTACAGCTGATTTTCAAGCCAGCGAAAGACTGCAGTGACTACCTCTATTCCTAGACTAGATGTTGTAGTGTCATATGCCAGGCTTTGTTGCACTAAGCGACGTCCATTCACTTTTGCTTCATTTACCTCTCAACACAGACATCTGTATAGGTTATATCATCTAGGTGAGAACTTTCATGAATCCATTTGTCGAGCTTCTGATACTGCAGTGTCTTCTGGCCAGTCTCCCCCCCTCTCCCCCCGCATCTTTCCCTCTCCCTCCGCATCTTTCCCTCTCCCTTCAGTGAGGGTCTGGAACCTAAATGATCAATGCATGTTAAATCTTCATTGTCTTATGTAACTGTTGGAACCAGGTTTTATTTTTATTTGATTTTCATAAAATATATATAATTACTGTTGATCGATTTCCTTAGTAATGAGCATAAGAGGAGAGATCTAAATTTGGCGTATACCGTAATTTTCCTTTATTGCAGGTTTATGGGTCGTAACTGGAGTGTTATCTACACAGTGAATGGTTGTGTCAGTGGCATGGTAAGAATTTAACCATCTTATTTATATATTCTATATTTATGCAGTCTCATACAGGCGCTGGGTTCTAGTACGTTAATGTAAAGAATGAGCGTATAGTAGACATAGTGAATGTGCTGCAGTCTAGAGACTTTAAGACAGAAGTTGAATCTTTTTCTCTTCTGCCATTTACCTCAGCGAGGTGTTTGGGGGAGAAGTAAGGATTGTTTGTGTACTTTTTCCAATGCATTGTACAAGTTGGTGTTCATTTCTGACGTTGCTCCTGATGTCACTCCATCTCTTGTGTGGTCTTCCCCTTGCTCTGTGTTCATTTTTCTTAAGCGCGGCTCTCTGTGGTAGTTGGTACCAGGGCATTCTTGTCAGGTGACCAAACCATCTTATTTGTTCTTTAATAAATTGTATGACTGGTTTGAGTCCTGAGTCTTCTTCTAATGTCTTCATTCCTGATTTTATCTTTTGTCACACCGGCAGCTCTCCTAAGACATCTTATCTCTGTTACAATCTTCCGCTCATTAGTTGTAGTGAGGGTCCATGTTTGGCACTGGTAGCAGTGTTGAACCGCCTGTTGGAAATGGACATTAAATGACAAGCATGTAGAAACTGGTTGCAGGGCAAAGAAAGAAGAAAGATATGCCAGTCAATTTCTTCTGGGCAAGTTGAGTTTGGAGACAAGGTGGCAGCTGCATCAGAACAAGAGACAAGTGGGAGGGACCGATGCAGCAACATTGGCAATTATGGAACCTCTTTTAACTATAGTGAAAAGACAAAATGCAGTGGTATGGACATGTAATAAGATCTAACGGCCTCTGAAAAACAATACTGAAGGGCTCAGTAGAGGGAAAGAAGCAGGTCAAGAAGACCTGGTCACAGAATCTGACTGGACAGGTCTCAGGCATGCAGCCATGAAGTCCATCGTAACTGACCGTCAAAGGGGAAGAGAGCTGATCAGTCAACAGAAACTGGTGACCCAACGACATGTAGCATTGCGGGATGAACAATTATAGGGGCATTGTTTATGCCAGTGGCATATCTGGCATGAGATGCTAGACGTTTTTATAGACCAGTGGGCACTCAGTAAATGTCAATATCATGCTGGTCACCTTTACTTCCCACCCAGGACACTACCAATACTTAATTTTAGGATGGGTCAGCCTTAGGGTAAGGTTAGTTTTGTGATAAATTCTTCTTGATACAGAATCAAACCTAAAACCTTTCAAGCAGGCAGGTGAGCATCTTGCAGCTGCTTTACTGCAGCTCCTATACTGCAGTTCCTAATAAAATTGCTTATACTATGGCATCTGTGGCTTAGGTGTTGCAAACGTGCTTCATAATGCCAAGGTGTTGGGTTCAATCTCAGCTGCTGGTAATTTGACTGCAGACCGCAAGGTGTTGGTTTTCAGTGGTGTTTCTAAGTGTTCTGTTTCATATTTTGGCTAATACTTTGTGTCACTTATTGTCATGCAGAAAATAGTACAAACCAGAACAATGGTAAACTGACACTGCCATTACTGCCTTGATTTATGATCCGATTTTGAGCAAGTCATGTTCATCCAGCATCCCCAAATGGGGAGCTTGTGATTATAATTGTGACTAGGTTATTTGCGCCACATAGAATCACATTGCTCGTAAACCCTAAAAGGACTTTTGCAGTGTTGATGCGATCCACTTCTGGATTTAAATCCTGTTCCTGAACCAAGATGAGATCTACCAGCCAGCCATGTGCGATCTGTTTGACAGAGCTGACACATTTTTTGCAGACTAAGATTCAAATACTGTCTCACCGACGATGCACTCCGACTTCCAGGAAGCTCCCAATTACTCTTACGATGCCTGTTTTTACTATTTTTTTTAGGTAGGCAGGTCTTCTATTCTTGGATTTTCCTAACAGGGCTAGTATTATAGCCGAACCCACAGGGGGGATTATATTTTGTGCTCCTGACAGATTTGTCACCACTACTGGAATATTAGAATGGCTTAACATTGCTGGCCACCAAGAAGCCCTGAAAAGGACTCTTAGTGTTGATGTGATCAAGAGAGATAAGATTCCAAAACTGCCCCGACTGATGACGAGGCCATCTAGCAGCCAGCCAATGGGCAAAAAGTTTGCTGATGACTGTTTATATCTATTTTTTACCCGAGTGTCGAGCGTCTTTGAGATCATTCTCTTTACTTCTCGCAGTGCCAGTATTCTCAAGACATGGCCTGTACACTGTTAGGGTTTTTTCCCAAAGTGCAAACTGACAGAAAAGTCACCAACCCTACTGAGCATTTGAACCTGGGTCTCCTGCATTTTTTTTTTAGCATTCCCAACGCAATTTGGGTTAGCTGCTCTGCCTGTGTTGTACAAACTAAACATGCTAAATGTAAACTTATCTTGGTAATGTGCATCGTCTTTTGCCAACATTTCCAATAAATGTTGAATTTTGATTAAGAAATCGACATCATGTAGCAGGTCCTTTGGGACACGCCCATAAGCATTCTGTCCCAAAAGAAATCCTCAGGCAAGTGAATTAAAATCGCCTGATGGTACTTTCAACCGTCTGATTTATATCCTATGATCAGTCTTCGTGTTTCAGCCCTGAGCCTCGAGCCTCGGTTCCATGATCTGCCATCACTCTTTGCAATCCTTTGTGGCATCATTCTCCTCAAATTGAGGGTACTGCTGTTGAAGAAAAGGCACTACACTCTTGACAGATGCTCGAGCTGTTCCCAACTGGCATGTCCAAACTGCCCCATCTACATCAGGGCAAAAGGTTCTGCAAATGGTATGTAACTTTTTTTTACTGGGCCTTTTTGTCCATCTGCCTGATGTTGTCCTCTACCTAAGGTTAGTTGCCCCTGGCTGTTATGAGGTGTTGCTAGGCAAATATTTTCCAGATTTGTGCCTCTGCCATTTTTTTCTGGACCATCGGATCTTCTTGTCTAGCTGTTGTCAAAACAACAATGCACTAAATGGTACCCGCAGCCAGTCGAAGCCGACATTGGAGCCTAACTCGTCGACTTGCCCACAAAAATAACCTAACACACCTGCATGCCCTAAAAAATGACCTAAATCCACCTGCATCTCTGTAATGTGCATCTAGCCTTTTTCTTGTACATTTCCATTAATTGCTGAACTTTGATAGGGGCGGGAGATGACTCGCGATGCATTACATTAGACCATAGGCTAAATTTTGACATTTTCATTCATATTTTCATTGTAATGAGAGAAATATGGATAGAAAAGTTTGGATTGTCTGTCTATTGATGCTCTGCTCTCATCTGTTGTAATCCATGAGCATACATGCATGTCAACCCCATCAACTGAAATGAAATTCTTGTTTGCTCTCATAAGGGTGGTTGGCTAATTGGGTTATGGTTACAGCATGGCTGAGATGTCTTTTGGGCAAGCAGATTTCAGTAAACCCATAGTCATCTTTTACATGCTTTTTTAGTGTGGCAGTTGGTCTGTTTCTCCCCAGAATGGGACTCTGGTAATGGAGAGTATAGATAGTTCTTGCAAGAAGCAGGAGTTGGCCAGACTGAACTTAGGCATGGGGTTTTAGAGGTTCTGTAGCCAAACGTCTTTGTAGACCGCATACACAGAAACAGGATGATTGAGACCGTTGTGGAAATGTATCTTATCTCTTCTGTTGACACACAAGCGGATAACTTAAGTACTAAAATGAATCTTATCAGAACTATTTTTTGGCTAACCCTATGCTATCAATGCCAGACGTGGACACTTACATCATCCAATGAACGTAGATTGTGACAACAAAGATGAAATGCCTTAGAAGAGCTGCATGAGTTTCAAGGAAAGACAGAATACAAAATCATGAAATCAGACTAATGCTAGGAATAAAGCCAGTATTAAGGTCATCAAAGAACAACAAATGAAGTGGTTTGGAATACCCTGGTACTATCTGCCACAGCTAGCCAAACTAAACGTTAAACGGGTATAGAGCGAGTGGAAGACCTCGGAAAATATGGAGTGATGGCATTAAGAACAGCCTTACAGAAATGAACATTAGTCTTATTAGTGCTCTACAGAGCTCATCAATGAACATTACATCCCCCTCCCCCCCCCCTCCTCCCCAAACCCTTTCGACACTTCGATGAGGTACAAGGTGGAAGAGAAGTAAAAATTTATCTTAAGTTCTTTTTACTGCTATAGGTATCAAGAGAAATATGGGGCTATCTTTGCCTGCATTGTTTTGTTGTACTATCAGGGGCTGAATTGTACAGTTTTATGAATCTGTTGCATTTCATTAACAGGTTGCAATCTGTGGAGGCTGTGATGTGTTCCGACCCTGGGGAGCATGCATTGTGGGGCTGGTTGCTGGCATCTGCTTCAACTTCACTTCCTGGTGGGTGGCCAAGTTGAAAATTGATGATCCAGTTGATGCAGTCGCAGGTAATTTTTTGAGTTGTATCTTGCAAAACTTTTATGGTACTTTAAAATACTGGTATATCTGAAGACCCATAACTAAGACACTGGAACATGGAAAGTCCTTGAGAACATCAATTGTGGTGAATGACATATGGGTATATAGGTCAGCCTATACTATGATATATAATGTATCCGAGTGGGATATGAATGATACAGGTACCGAGATAGATTTGTGGAAAAAGGGTGCTAAAGACCACGTAGTGTGTTAAGGGAAAATGAGATGTCTTTTCCGATTCTGATGCTGGCAAATCATGAGAATGAAAATGTATGTTCCCTGTGTGGGTTCTAGGGCTCCATTGCGGGGAAACCAATAGACCCACTGCCTGCCCAAAAGCATGTCATAAGAGTTGACTAAGAGCTTTCTTTAAAATCTGAATACATCTGCCTCAGAGGCAAGGAACCAACAGTCTGCATGCAAATAACTCAGACCTGTGAAACAGATGTACACTCAAGTTTCTGGAACAGGACTAGTCCAGAAGTGGACGAATAAACATAATTTTTCTGGCAGAGCTTACAGCCGGCAAATGTGAAGATGGAAATTCATGTTAGAGGGGAAGTCTTACATAGGTTTAAGCTGTCTGGAAGCTAACCCGGTCAACAAATGCTCATTGAATTAGATGCTGGCCAAAAGGTGCAAATGCTGCAGCTTTTTTGTAAACAAGCAAAATGCAGTTATGTCACTCGGATGATCATTATGGAAACATTGTTCAGTACAGAAACTATCATGCTATCATGCTTGTTGTCACAACACACTCATTGTTTCCCCTACTGTGTCCACTGGTGCACTCCCCCAACTCGCTCACCAACACCTCAGGATTTGCTTTCAAGAACTTTGTCTCAACTGATAAATTGCAGAGATTATTCCTCCTAGGAAATTTTAACATTGCTGATTGCATCTTCCATTTGATGTTTGCCCAAATACTAGAGCACATTGGACTTGCTTTAGTCATTTGTAATGGAGAAAATGACTGCATGTCCAGAACTGTCAAAAGCACATTAAATGCGTTATTACAACAGTGGTCCTGAAATTACACTTTCTAGTTGTGGATGACTTTTCTAAGGGCAAGCAAAGTTTGCCAGTTACTCATATCAGCACGGGCTGAATCACTCGTATCAGACGGGCTGATCTGCTGATTTGAATGCCTCCCGATAGCACAGTAGAACTTTTTTGTCTTGTATTGCTTTTCAGCCTCAGGTTTTGAAGAGGCATTGGATGAGACTTGGTGTGACATATAGATGCTGGTATTTTGGGTCTTGGATATTCTATCCATCCATCGCTTGTGGGGTTAACCTCTGGCTCTGCTTACATTATATCTTAAGTGACAGGGCTCTCTGTGGTGCACTTTCTAGTGGTAGTTTTGACACATGTCCAAACCATTTAATCTGTTGTCTCTCGATGTTTAATACTGGTTCCATTCCAACTTTGCTGATATTTCAGATCATGTCTACAGTGGAACACTATTACCTGGAAAGATAAAGATGCCAACTAATACATAAGGTTTATTATAATTATATATATCTTCCTCAGTGCACTTCAGTGGAGGAATCTGGGGTGTCATTTCTGTTGCCTTCCTGAGTTACCCTAATGGAATTCTTATTGCCTGGGACAAAAGATCTGGACTTGTGAGTAAACGGTCAACTGAATGTTTTGTGTAGCTGATTTGTAGTCCATTTACTGTAAATTGTTGCCAGAATATTTTTATTCAAGTAAAATAACTTGTCTTGTTCTGGCACCCTATTTTGGGAGGCAGCAGATAGATCTTTTTCCCCCTAATAAGCGACAACTAATTGGGGTTTTCCTGAAAGCATATGTAATGGAATGAAATGCATAGATCAGTGTAAATGTAAACACAAAGTGCCAACCAATTTTTTAGGGTAGGACACAAAAGGAAAAAGAAACTAGTTGTATTAAGATCCAAGTAAGACAGCCCCTGGGCCACCGTTAGACCAGCCCCTGGGCCACCGTTAGACCAGCCCCTGGGCCACCGTTAGACCAGCCCCTGGGCCACCGTTAGACCAGCCCCTGGGCCACCGTTAGACCAGCCCCTGGGCCACCGTTAGACCACAATCCCCTGGGCCACCGTTAGACCAGCCCCTGGGCCACCGTTAGACCAGCCCCTGGGCCACCGTTAGACCAGCCCCTGGGCCACCGTTAGACCAGCCCCTCTAGTTCATTAAATATTTATTGCTAGATATTTTTATAGACCTATTGGCACTCAGTGGATGATGTGGTCAAGATCGTTAACTGCCTTTACTTCCCAGGACATTACCTGGTACCCATTTAACTGGGTCAGCCAGGGAACTAAGGTCAGTCTAGAAACAAAATCTACCTCGATGAAGGACCCTTTACCTTTGGATCAGCAAGCAAACCTTTATTTCTATTAACTGCTGTGCTCCTTCCAGGTTGTGTGGCATTAGTCATGTCTCCCTCCACAGGTTTGGCTGTTGCCAACCATTTCTGGTATAGATGTTCTGACCACCATGATGCCAAACTTCCCATCCTCTTTTGGTCTTGGCCTCCAACTTCCCTGTTGTCACAGTGAACTCCTAAGGTCTGCTTCCCCATAGCACTCCCCAGCACACATCAGGATTTGCTCTATGCAGCTTTTAGGAACTTTCCATCTGACGATTCGCTGCAGAGAATATTCATCCTGAGAAATGTTTCCTTAGTTTGCTTTATTCTACAATTGCCTTCACTGCATCTTACATCTATTGTGTGTGCCCAAATACCATTATTGGTTTGCTTAACTCTTTTTTCCTGATATTCCCTATTTTCCTTAACTTTTCCCCAGCACTGTTGTCTTGATATGTCACACAATTTCAACACACAAACTGGGTTTATGGGGCCCCATTTTGGGACAGTAAGTATAGAACCACTACCCCTTAATAAGTATGGCATAAAAGTCAAACAGGATTAACTTAAATCAGATGTTTGGGGCTGAAAGGTGCAGATATTGCAGCCTAGCTGTAAATGTGTACCAACCGCAATGACTTTTTTTTTCACTGTTTAGATTTTGTCTTCTTTAAAGTCTGTGCTGTGGTGCATTGCTAGCCATATCTGTCTATAACCTTTTTGTGTATTTTCGATCAACTCTTGACACAGATGATCCTCTATGCCATGTCAGACTGTCCAGCATCTTCTGCCTTCCTCTGCCTCTTTCCCCCTCCAACTTTCCTACTGTCATGATGTACCCCAGCTTTCTCCTTCTCATGACATGAAAAAAAAGGATGTAGATCTGGTGTGGGCACGTTTTCTGTGTTTAATTTCTCTAAGACATTTTTGAGTCAGATGGCAAACTAGAGCACATACAGAACGCAGCCATGCTGGTCATTCTGGGTTGCACCAGAGACACCCCAGTGGTCTGTATGCGATTAATCCTTGGTTTGCCAACGATTGCAGGTAGGCACAAGGTGCTGCAGGCGAAGTCATATCTCGGGGTAGCTGCAGACACAGACCACCCTTTGCATGATGAAGCTCTGGTTGCTGTTAAGGGTCAGCGGCTAAGAGGGAGGTCATGGATGGCTCAGGCAGACAGGTTTGCATCCTTGAGAACATTAGGCAAGGAGAGGAGTGGGTCAAAGTGCAACCTGAAGTCAGACTTGTGTAAAGTCAATCACGCTGAGCAGGGAATGCAGAGACTGGCCAGCAGGTGCAACGGAGGTGGAAATTCAGCAATTCAAGATACTGCTCGCTTAGAGGATTTGATCATTTACACAGATGGTTCAGTGTCAAAAGGCAAAAGAAGTGCTTGGGGCTTCTAAGCAAAATTAATGGTCGACTTTTGGTGCAAGAGAGCCTAGCATGATACAACATCCAGCTTAAGAATGGAGGTGGAGGTGGTCACTGCAGCTTTCCGCTGGCTAGAGAACACACACACACATATCTTGATTGTAACTGACTCACAAAGCATGCTGAGGAAGATCAGAACAGGTATGCTTCGTGCAGAGTGGCATGCTTCGCTGCGGAGGACACGGGTGAGGAGTATTGTCTGGATTTTTTTCACCAGGGCAGATGGATCAACAGTCTGGTGAGACTGATGCAGGGGGGAGTGACGAGAGGTTCTGGCAGATGCTTGAGGCTCAGATGAAAGGCAAGACTGACGTTTAATCAGAATGCTGCTGGCACCATTAGTATCGGAACTCTTCGCTGGCTGCTGAAGATGGGGACGGAGTGATTATGGGAATGCCCCGAGTGCTGTGATGTCGGTTCTTGAATCAAATCAAATCAGACATTTCTCTTTTCATCTGTCCAGGATTTTATACATCACAATTGACACAAACTAGTACTTTTTACTTTTCCAATTTAGCAATATTATGAAATTTAACACATACTTTGTGATAGACGTTCCCCGGTGGGGTAGGGGGAGGGGAGGCTGAATATAACCAGGCCATAAATATATGGCCTCAAGGCTAAAAGGGGTTTCTGGGACCTCCATGGGTGATCCTCATCTGCATAGTGGCACTTGTGTCGCCTGGTATTTATTGCTTGTGTGATATAGTAGTGGGGTACAACTACCTACCTACCTATCTTTAACACATTTTCTCCATTGTAAATTATAATTCAGATGCAAACCTGATGAAATATAAAACATTTGTTAAAAGCTTAATAAAATTTCCCTTTTTATCCAGATGTTGGCTTGGCAGTTGGTCGGTCTCTGTGCTGTCATTCTGTGGACAGCAACTCTGTCAGCAATTATGTTTGGTTCTATGAAAGGCTTGGGCATGTTCAGAGTCTCAGAGGAAGTGGAACTGAAAGGTTAGTGCGGAAGATACTTGTGAATTTTAACTCCTGAGTCCCAAGGAGCGCATCATACGTTCATAGGTTCTTGCCTAGAGGCCCAGTGAACACAAGATGCGCCGATTTTAAGTCTTCTCTTGACTACCCCTAGGGCCTCTGATGCTAAACCCCCTAGGACTGAGAGTTAAATACAGATGGCATCCATTTTTTTTTAAAACTGAAAATAAATCATGTACTGTGTCAGAAAGCCCAAGCTGTCATACTTCACCATCTCAGATGATCACCAAAATTATCAGGTCATAAATCTGGTTGCTCTCCATCCTGTGGCCTAGCCATCCAAGTGTCTCATTGCCTTCTTGCTCTTTTCATTAATCTTGCCAATGTTTTCATGTTCTAATGTTTTCATGTTCTGAGTCCATTTCTTCTTATAAAATGTCTGCACACGCCCAAAACAAAGTCTACATCCACATAGTGAAATTATGACTAAATCTTGGTATCTAAGAAAGTAATTTGTCACTGCTTTTCTTAACCATAAGCATACTGGTAGTGCAGCCTAAGCCATTGTAACAAAATTGTGATTCTCTGCAAACCTTTGATATATGACATATATAAATGTCTTGAGCTGGAAACAGAAATATTTCACTACTTGAGCTGAAAAAGGGACATCTGTCACTTTAGCGCAACTGGGTTTATAAGGGACATCTGTCACTTTAACACAACTGGGTTTATAAGGGACATCTGTCACTTTAACGGAACGGGTTTATAAGGGACATCTGTCACTTTAACACAACTGGGTTTATAAGGGACATCTGTCACTTTAACGGAATAAGGGAATCTGTCACTTTATAAGGGACATCTGTCACTTTAACGGATAAGGGTTTATAAACTGGGGGACATCTGTCATTTTAACACAACTGGGTTTATAAGGGACATCTGTCACTTTAACGGAACGGGTTTATAAGGGACATCTGTCACTTTAACGGAACGGGTTTATAAGGGACATCTGTCACTTTAACGGAACGGGTTTATAAGGGACATCTGTCATTTTAACACAACTGGGTTTATAAGGGACATCTGTCACTTTAACGGAACGGGTTTATAAGGGACATCTGTCACTTTAACGGAACTGGGTTTATAAGGGACATCTGTCACTTTAACGGAACGGGTTTATAAGGGACATCTGTCACTTTAACGGAACGGGTTTATAAGGGACATCTGTCACTTTAACACAACTGGGTTTATAAGGGACATCTGTCACTTTAACACAACTGGGTTTATAAGGGACATCTGTCACTTTAACGGAACGGGTTTATAAGGGACATCTGTCACTTTAACGGAACGGGTTTATAAGGGACATCTGTCATTTTAAGGGACATCTGTCAACACAACTGGGTTTATAAGGGACATCTGTCACTTTAACGGAACGGGTTTATAAGGGACATCTGTCACTTTAACGGAACGGGTTTATAAGGGACATCTGTCACTTTAACGGAACGGGTTTATAAGGGACATCTGTCATTTTAACACAACTGGGTTTATAAGGGACATCTGTCACTTTAACGGAACGGGTTTATAAGGGACATCTGTCACTTTAACGGAACGGGTTTATAAGGGACATCTGTCACTTTAACGGAACGGGTTTATAAGGGACATCTGTCATTTTAACACAACTGGGTTTATAAGGGACATCTGTCACTTTAACGGAACGGGTTTATAAGGGACATCTGTCACTTTAACGGAACGGGTTTATAAGGGACATCTGTCACTTTAACGGAACGGGTTTATAAGGGACATCTGTCATTTTAACACAACTGGGTTTATAAGGGACATCTGTCACTTTAACGGAACGGGTTTATAAGGGACATCTGTCACTTTAACGGAACGGGTTTATAAGGGACATCTGTCACTTTAACGGAACGGGTTTATAAGGGACATCTGTCACTTTAACGGAACGGGTTTATAAGGGACATCTGTCACTTTAACGGAACGGGTTTATAAGGGACATCTGTCATTTTAACACAACTGGGTTTATAAGGGACATCTGTCACTTTAACGGAACGGGTTTATAAGGGACATCTGTCATTTTAACACAACTGGGTTTATAAGGGACATCTGTCCTTTTAACACAACTGGGTTAATAAGGGACATCTGTCACTTTAACACAACTGGGTTTATAAGGGACATCTGTCACTTTAACAGAACTGGGTTTATAAGGGACATCTGTCAGTTTAACACAACTGGGTTTATAAGGGACATCTGTCACTTTAACACAACTGGGTATATAAGGGACATCTGTCAGTTTAACAACTGGGTTTATTAGGAACATCTGTCATCTGTCAGTTTAATTTTAAGGGACATCTGTCACCCCCCCAACCCCCTCCCAACCCCCCCCCCCCTGTCCCCCCCCAACCCCCCATGTCATCCCAGTTAAAGGGTTAATATAACTTAAAAAAAATAATTTTGTAGCATTTTTGTTATATCTGGTGTATTTGACTATTACAGGATTGGATATCCCAATACATGGGGAACATGCTTACCCACCAGAAGCTTACGATGAGCCTGTTGGTTTGGACACTTTTCTGAAAATATTAGAGAGTGGCCAGTTTACAGCAGCACAAATGGGTAAGATCTCTTTTGCTGCCAGTTTGATTTTTCAGTTTTGTAATTTCAGCTGTTGCCTTTAAGACATGGTCAGTAGCAGATGGGAAAAAGAGAATCTTTAGTAGGACTCATGTCCTCTTACCTGATACCCTCACCTGATGCACCTCTTTACCTGGTGCACTACCTGGTGCAGTCATCCAATATGCAGTCATCCAATACGCAGTCACCTGATGCGCAGTCATCTGATACATTCTAGCCTGACATGCTTATCTAATAGTCTTACCTGACTGTGGAAAGACTTCAGTCACTAACTCTACTGGCAGGGTATTCTTCATGCCTAGTATCTTTGTCTTGCATCTACAATCATATTGTTCTATCATTGCTTCAACTTCAGATACCAAACTACTTACATTTAAATTCAAATGATTCTTTTATACACCAATGGTGGCAATGCTACCAATGTCAGACATGGCCACTAACAACAAACCAGATAAGAAAATTAGTAACCATGGAAACGACAGGTATGAGGATTGCAGGAGTGACCAGAATAGATCAATTCAGGAATAGGTCATAAGAGAGAGTCGGCACAGAACAAATTCTAAATTACACAGACAACAAATCAAATGGTTTGCCCACTTGGAGAGAATGTCTTGTGATGCTATACTGTACAAAGCATATGCCAAAAGAGATGGGCGTAGATCATGAGGTAGACCAAGATCAACATGGAAAGATAACATCAGAGAAACTCTATAAAGCAGCAGGATGTGTCTGGTCAAGACAACCAGAAGAGCAAGATGCAGAAGCTATAACAGGATGTGAAGAAGGTGCATCAGTCCAGTGCTTAAGACCATTTTAATAGACCAGTCTCCCTCAGTGAGTGATGTGATCACCTCAGTGAGTGATGTGATCAAGCCCGACTGTCTTCACTTCCCAGGGCATTACTTGGTACCCAGTTTAAGCTGATCGGCTTGAGAGGCAAGGTCACTTTCTGTCTGGCTTGATATGGATTTGAACCCAAGAGGTTTGGGCTAGCAGCAAGTGTAGCCAATATGCAGCTAGCGCACTTGGGCATATTATGCTTGACATATTATATAATAATTGGCACTCAGTATGTAAAAATCACCCTGGTTGCCAGGACATTATGTAGTATCAGTTTTAGGCTGACTTAATATAGCAGAATATATTGTTTCTGAGTTATATCACTTTGAGCCAGTTCTTTGGCGTTCACTCCTTGCATTAGGTCACTTCTTGATATCTCCGTATTGAGAGAATTCTTCAGTAACATTTTAAGTTCCCTTGTCTTGTCTGAAATGGTATGCCCAATCATAGCCCAGGTCATAGTTTGCATACAGGAACAGACTATTGAATCCTGCATATTTTACAGTCCCCACAGTGTCTGTTAAACAGGACCACAAACACCTAAGCATATTCTGCCCATTCTACAGTTTTGAAAAGACACCTGGTCTCAGAGCAAGCTATGTGGAACCATTAAGGACCTGCATTGACCTGTATTCTAATATTGCTTTCAAAAGTATTTACTTCAGTAGGCTTGATAAAAATTGACTTAAAATTGAAATTTAATTTCACTTTTCTTTTGGGATAGTATTTATAAAAATATTGATCTCTTTAATTAGATAACTCATGAAATTATTGTAAATATTACAAATACTGCAAATCTTTTATTTCTCATTACATTTTTGTAATTGAAAATTTTACTTTTCCAGGCATGTTGATCAAAGAATGCAAAGAGCCAGGAACATATGAGGTGTCTGACAATACAAAAATGACAAACTACAATGCAGTCAGAAGATCCCGGCTTTCTGTAACACCATCAGAAATGGAAATAGTTGTACGACAAAAAGAGAACCTGGCCAAAGTCAGAAGACCTTCATTCACATCTTCTGAAATGGAAATAGTTGTCAAGCCACACATGGAAGTTAATCATCATCACCCCGGTAGATACAATGAGGCATTTGATATCGAATCAGAAAAAAGTTTTAGTGAAAAACCAGAGTATATTCATTTGCAAAAATTTAAAGGACATTAAAGGTGCAAAGCTATTCCTGATGCCATTGTAAATGTGTGGCTGTTAAAATTCAGACAGATTAAGAAATTGGCAGAGATTATTCATGTGTATATATAGCGTGGTGTGGTTTTTTTTTTTTTTTTTTTTTTTTTTTTTTTTTTTTTTTTTTTTTGAGCGTCTGCCCTGGTAATCCAAATAATTTGCTGTTATATTTAAAAAGACCTCACTTTTATGGCATTTGTATACATATTTTAATGTACAATTAAAAGTTTGTGCTGACAAATTTAGTCCATATTAAAAATATTAACTTTTACTAAACTATTTTTAAGTCTACACATTTGACAAAGAATTGACATTTTTACACAATGCATTTGTTAAAATATTTTTCTCC